GCAAGATAGTTCAGGATGCAGATAAAAATGATGTTATGCCAACAGCAGAAACTATTAGAGACAGGAAAGAAATTATTAAGTATATTATTTAACAGTGAAAGTGGCTTAAAGCATGTATTGGATTTGCTAATGCTGAGAACCACTTGATCTAACAACCACAGAAGCCGAGGAATAATCTGCGCCTCAAGGCAGTTATGCACATCAGAACCTTTTTCTTTCACATTTTCATCTGATAATTTGTGTGCCTCATTTACTTTACAACTGATTTTTTAATACATAATTGTCTGTCCTTTCTGACACGTATAAGAAAATATATTTCTTTTTCACAATGCAAAATATTTCAAAGTATAAATAAGCAATATAAGCAGATGTCTGACTGAATTAGTGCATTCTGACTATCTCCATATGCTCGCAATATATTCTCCAATAACATGTTTTCAGCAGGGAAGTTTATACAGGGACTGTCACTTTCAAATTCCACTGCAAAATAGTGCTCACGTTTGGGGTTAGACCTTAAAATGCACTTTCCATCTTCTTTTGTACTCGGCTCTGGTGAGGCCGCACCTCGAGTACTGTGTTCAGTTTTGGGCCCCTCGCTACAAGAAGGACATCGAGGTGCTTGAGCGGGTCCAAAGAAGGGCGACGAAGCTGGTGAGGGGCCTGGAGAGCAAGTCCTATGAGGAGCGGCTGAAGGACCTGGGCTTGTTCAGCCTGGAGAAGAGGAGGCTCAGGGGTGACCTTATTGCTCTGTATAAGTACATTAAAGGAGGCTGTAGAGAGGTGGGGGTTGGCCTGTTCTCCCATGTGCCTGGTGACAGGACGAGGGGGAATGGGCTAAAGTTACGCCAGGGGAGTTTTAGGTTAGATGTTAGGAAGAATTTCTTTACTGAAAGGGTTGTGAGGCACTGGAACGGGCTGCCCAGGGAGGTGGTGGAGTCACCATCCCTGGAAGTCTTCAAAAGACGTTTAGATGTAGAGCTTAGGGATATGGTTTAGTGGGGACTGTTAGTGTTAGGTTAGAGGTTGGACTCGATGATCTTGAGGTCTCTTCCAACCTAGAAATTCTGTGATTCTGTGATTCTGTGATTTTAAACTACACACTAGGGGTTCTATGCCAGTGAAATACTTGCAAAAGAGAAAAAGTTTCTTCTGACTTATGTGTGGCAATGGCATTTTTTGGTACATTAGGGGCCAGACTTGATAACTAGATGGAAGAAGATTACTAGAAAGAGTGTTTACTTACGTAACATTTCTAAAACACAATTATTAAATTCTTAAGAAAGTAACCCTATCTTTTGGAAACCATATAATTACGAATTCTGCAAATTGCCTGAAGTGTGTTTCCCTAACAGAGGTTCTGAAAAGCAAGGTATTTCAGCACAAGTTCCCATTAGAACTTTTTGTACAGCACTGAAAATAAAAGATTATTTTATACACATACCAAAAAAAAAGAGGCTGTGACCCTGTCTGGCATGGTTACTGAGCCCAGGTTGTCTTGTGTACAAGGAAGGTAGCAGCTACCTCAGAGACAGTACTGCTCAGAGTAGTACTAAGAGTAGTACTGCTCATTCAGTACATTGTAATGAAACTCAGATAAAGCCTCAAGTATGTGAACAATTCTGTCAGCTCTCTCACTACTCACAGAGTCAGTTAGCACTGACAGGTCAATATTTCAAATTTTTGTCCAGTCTACAGGTAATTTAGTACTTAAATATTAAATAATTATTTAATTATATATATACACACATATATGAAAGCATTTTTTCTGTCTCAGCCTAGATGTACCTGAGAACAATACAATCAGTGCTGTTAAACTCATTGACACAAATTCAAGACAGTTGGTTTGGCAATTATTCCTATTTTAATATAACTGCACAGTTTACAATTAATGAATCATCTAAAAAGTCACCTCAAAGGAGAAAAAAAAAAAAAAAAAGGCAACCTCAGTATTTTATTAAATTGACAATAATTTGCTCTTACAAAGGGACTGTATATGAAGGCTCAGGAGTAACACTACTGAACTGAAGTAGAAGTGGTTGATGGATTAGGTCTTTAGCTGCAAATACAAGAAATGGGTCTCTTAGAAAAGATATTTTAGAATCCAGCCACTATGCTACTTCAAGGCAATCACAAAGAGACACATGAAAAACGTGTTCTAGAAACAACACAGGCAGTGACATCAGCACTAAATGACCACTCGAAGAAAACCTTTCCTTGTTATCAGCCCACATGTCAAATGACAGTCTAACCAAGCCACCATTATTGTGTGCTTCCCCCTCACAATGTTGAAAAGGATGTACAGGGCAGATCTTTTGGACCTCAGCTGTACTCTGCATCCCTGTTCTGCATTAATCACCATCACACGAGATGTTCTTGGGGCATTTTTGCCTGTGCAAATGATGCACATAATTTTCCAGTTAGTTTGACAAAAATAACCTTAGCGACTGGATGCACCAGGAAATACTATAAGTGACACACAAGTAGTTTTAGTAAAAATATTTTAAAACACACACTGATGTAATCTGGAGGGTTATTTTATTGTGTTTGCATTGAAGCGTAAACATACTATTCAGTTTCATGGGACATAACAGCTCTTCCTCAATAGACAGGCCCACAGACCCCTCAGTTTAGACTCCTAATCCAATGGCCACCAATGATTCCTCCATGGACTTTCACAGAAGAATATGGAACCTTACGGCATGACCAGCTCCCTAAGCTGCCACATTGCTGGAGAAGAAGCTGAAGAATAAACATCGATAGCACACATATGGACAGACTTGATAAGACATGCATGCTGGGCCCAAGTAGATTTCATGGCAAGCAAACCACTGATTTCACATAATTTATCTCTCTGGGTAATGCAGGCCCTTCATCAACACTATCTTCATGATCTCCAGAGACCTTATGATTCCACTGATACAAAGTAAGATTCAGATAATACTCTCCACTGTAACATCATGAAATACTGGTCATTTTGAAGATTTCAAAAGAAGGCAGAAAAAAGTGTTCTTAACACACGCAGATTACAAAGGTTATAAATCATATATCCCAAACACCAGCACTGTGGTCTTGTTCTTGGCCATATGAAGGCCACTGGTAAAACTATTGGCTTCCAGCTCAAGAGACAGCACAAAAGGTATGTAAAATATGATGCAAGTGGACTTTAGGCAGTAAAATTCAGAACCTGTACTTAGGACATCACCTCTTCCTGGAGGAGCCTGTGCTCACTGCGTTCATCCTTGCCAGATTAGTTAGAGTTTGTAAGTGGTTCTGTGCAGGTAATGTCTACAAGGTGCACATAAAGTGGCTCCTTAGAAGAAGATGAGAAGCCCCATACAAACTTTCCCATGCCTAATGTGCATCAAAAAATAAGCACAGCAACAGCAAAGTCCCCTAGAGCACCTTTTTTAGTAGCAACTATATAAAAAATGAGAATGGGCACATTTCTCATGTTCACATCTGCCACTCAGATCAGGTAGCATCTGTCTGTTCTCAAAGACTGATAGAAACAACTTCCACAGGGAGAGGCTCCCATACAGCAGAATCAGCCATCTAAGACCTTGATGTGACACAACTTGAGATAAAATCCTGCATTTAGTGCTACCCAAGCTCTATAAAGCAACCTAATTAGGATGTAGGCTTTCCTCAAAGCCTTTCTGAGATGATGAGACATGATCTCCACACTTGTGTGCTGGACCAAGAGCTGCTAACACAGGCTTATACTGCTGAAGGGAAAACATTAGCATCCCACAGCTCTTGAAGATCTTGTTTTAAGATACTGTTTAAATCACTTAAGCAAGGTATATCCTCTTGCAGCTGGACAACCATTCTGAATGAATCCACAGCAAAGGAACTCAACAATTGGCATATTAGTTCAGAGCTGAAGACCACCTAGCCAGAAGCAGTCCCTGCACTACTCATCATTAGATTTTGCTCAGGAAATCATTCACTAGACAGATACATTCATTCATATTGACACAGGGATTAAGTCCAGTGTAGAATAATGTATGCTCCTATAGCTACATGATCATACTGAACTAGTAACTACTCTACAGCAAAAAACACTTAGGAAGAGCAATATAGTTGTGATTTCTGAAAACTCTGTTCTTAACTGAGCATATAAATAATCAAACACTGTGAGTATTACCATTTTTCTTGCAATTATTTATTTTCTACATCCAGGTAGATGACAAATGGCTGGTAAGTTCCTCATAGATGAAACCAAAACAACTAGAAGAGGTACACAACTGGAGTTCATCAGTTAAGCAGTCAATCCAATTTGTGTAAAAGAAAGTACAGAGCTTCCACTAATCACCTGGGATTTTCAGACTCATCTCACATTGCTTAATACCCATTTTCCTCCTCTGTGGGACAACTTCTCCTCAGAAGCACTAACAAGTGATAATTATGGGACTCACGCTGACAGCACAGAACCAGGGAGAAAGTGTAAACAGAGAGCGTTAATTGACCTGGTTTTTAAAAACTGCGGCTCCCGGAACCTTTGTCGTTTATGTTTCATTTAGTTTTCATGGCATATGTCCTTCCACCCTACTTCAAACGACAAGAGCTACTCAGCAAAACTTGGACAATCAAAGTACAGCGGGCTACGCGCCTCTGACAGAACGCAGCAAGGGAAGGACCGCGGCTGTACGAACACGACCGCGACGTGCGCTCACTCTGCGAGTTAATATTCCCGTAACTACGTTGAACCCACCAGACACAGCGTTAATTTTAACGAGGAACGACGCGGGCTCGGCAGCAAACGGCAGCAAACGACAGCCCTCCTCATCATCCTCCTCCTCCTCCTCCTACTCCTACTCCTCCTCAGGGCGCTGGGGTCCCTCTCCCAGCAGAGCGGGCACTGGAGGGGCTGCGGCCGGTCGGAGGGGCGCTCGCCGCGGCTGTTTCTTCGCCTTTTAAAAGCAAAAAAGCTGCCCTGCAGGGGGGAGAGGATGGAAAGCGGCCCCAGCCCGCCCGCCGCAGCCCGCCCCGGCACTCACAGCGGGTAGAAGGCGTAGGGCGGCAGGGCGCTGTCCTCGCCCGGCTCCGCGTCCAGCAGCAGGTAGTCCTGGCTGTCGTTCCGCCGGGTGCCGGTCCCCGGCGAGCCGCCCTTCCTCGGGGCGTAAGGCTGAGCCTGGCTCATGGCGTCCCGCGCCGAGACGGAGTCGTCGTCGTCGCCAAGCCCACCCGGGGCACCCGGCTCCCTCAGGGCGCCGCCGGAGCAGCGCGTAGAGCCCCGCTCGGCGCCGCCCTGCCCGCCCCGCCGCACCGCGGCGGCCGCCTCACGGCGTGGCGGGCTCCCGGCGGGAGAGAAGGAGGGAGGGAAGGAGGGATGGAGGGAGGGATGGAGGGAGGGATGGAGCCGGCTGGGAGGCGAGAGGCAGCAAAGTTGGAGCGCGGCAGGGGCGGGAGGTGGGAGGGCGGAGGGCGCCGCTCGCCTCCCCTCAGGGGCCGCGGCGTCTCCCGGCCCCGCCACCAGCCCACCCCCGGCTCCGCTCGGACCCCGGCTCCCCTCACACTCCCTACTCCCCCGAGGGGGCTGCCCGGCCTGTGTGGGGACAGATTTTGGCTTTCAGGGCTTGGCCTTCTGAAGAGGTCACTCCAAAATACTCTCCCCACCCCCCAAAACCAAGGGTTTGTACCCCAAGGAGGAGAGATGCTCACCTTCAGCCGCTTTTTACACACGACGTGGCCCACGGGGATCTGAGCAAAATCTCACTGACGGCTGTTCCCCTGGAAATTTAGCGGGACTGCAAACACACAGGGACTTGTTAGCTCCGGCTTTCACGGGGCTGGAACTTCTTGTTTTCTTTTAACTTGGAAATACGGTGTTTGTGGTGCTTGTGTCCCATTATAAACACCTCACCAGTTTCAAACAGAACTTGTTTTTGTCACCTCCAATAACTTCAGATAACAGCAGGGGCAAAATATGGCCATTCTTAGCCTAATAATAATAATAATAATAATAATAATAATAATAATAATAATAATAAAACAAATGTTCTGGTTATAACACTTTAGCAAAACTCATTGCAGAACTCATTCCACTTGTATGTATCCTGTTTCAGTTGTAACATTGTCTTTTAATGGTGGTGTTATTTTACTAATAAAAATCTTAATAGCTTAAACAGATAAACTTTTGGTGATGTTATTTTACTAATACAAATCATATTAGCTTAAATATACTAAACACAAACTTTTCTGAAAAAAAATGTATTGAAGAAATAACATCTGATATTTAGTCACCTTTCACATTATGTAACATTATAATAGGCTTACTATGTCACACAGTAATGTTTATAACTAAATGTTGTAAAGGTACAGGTAAAATGAACATCTTTGAATAAAATCTCTCCCTCATCCCTAAACATGTTCTCATCTCAAAACCATTGCTAGTATGTGTATAGTATATGTCCTTATCTCCTTGAGCATACACACCTTCACCGACTAGTGGTCATCTGAGCAGCTAGCCAGGCAAATAACCCCACACAGTCCTGTACAAGATATACATGTATGTGCTGGCTGACACAGCCCATGCTGCCTGCTGCTCTTTGCCAAGTCTTAGTTTTGATGACTGCCTGAGCCACTGACTCATCTCACCTACTGAAGTGCAAGAGGAGGAGATGCACAGGGAGATCCAGAGCTCACTGAAGTTGCAATATTATGTCCATGGTAATGACCAGGTTCTGAAATACCCACAGTTAAAGGCAATTCCACAGTTGCTCTAAGTTTCTGAAGTTTCTTTTGCTTTCATAGCTACCGCTCTTAAAGTTAAACTCTAATGGGCTCTACAAGTCTTCATTTCTTTGATAAACTTTTTTTTTTTTCTGGTTAAGAATATTTTAAGTAGGAGGTTTAGTAGCAATGCTCTCATGTGTATTTTATAGTTCTCATACTAATTCTTGTTTCATATGACTATAAAAAGAAATACAGAGCTATGGGCAGGCTCTGCATTTGAGAAATATGCTGTTGATAATATTTCACATTTTTACTGTAGGAAAATTGTTGGCCAGTAACTGAGTACTTTGTGATGGGAAGATTCTCATGTGTTCCACTGCTCTTGTTCATGGAAGTTTTATTTCCCCTTTCCTGCTCTCTCATAAAGTGTTTTTCCTAGGTCTTTTTTGTAAATTGCCAAAATACCAATACAGATATTTTTTATTTCAACTGCTCTGTTTGATACTAGATTGGTGTCTCAAACCAGATTTAGGTTCTAATTTTTTTTTGTTTTGTTTTGTTTTTTTTTTTTTTATCACTGTTCTTCCTTGCACAACCTTTGTTTCCTTCTTCCTCAAACTTTATACAATCCTATTTTTCTGGTAGGTTATCAGAACCTGTGATTTGAGAGCCTACTCATACCTTACTCTGTTTTCTTCTGCTGCTTCCTTCAAAGATCTGCTTACTGATGTTTGCCCCTAGGATTAATGCCCATTTTCACCATGATACTTTTACATCTCTCTCAGCTTTCAGCTCACATTTTCTCAGCTGTTTCCTTGATACAAAGCCTTCATTGGTCTTCATTCACATTTCAGCCTTGTAAGCACTTATCACCCCAAGCACTCTTATATTTTAATCTATCCCAAATCTTCCAGAAATTCTGAAGACACACTCATGAATCACAGCAATGTCTCTTATGGTTTCTTTCAGATCATACCACCCTCGTGGTACTGATGAAAAGTGAAAGAAAACAATAAGAAAACAATAAGAAAACAATTCACACACACTGCAGAGCTGACAAGCCATGAGAATATCAACCAACTTCAGCAGGGAAGCCTACACCAACATTTTTTGTGCTGCCTACTGACAGTCAACCAGCGCACATCTTCTGATGTCAGTGGGTTTTACAAAAGACCCAAAATGATGGAAACCCTGGCCAAAGGTGACATTTCCTATTGTACTTATGGTCCTTTGGATGCCTTTGTGTCTGAAGAGTTCGGGATATAGAAGGACTGAACTTGAATCTATCTCCATGTTTGCGTAACAGTCTAGGGTTGATGAGCCATTCTGCAAGTATCTGAAAGCTTATGAGGTTACAGAGAATTATTTTTGATGGCAAGATGCTGGGATGAAGAAGCAAAAAAATGGTTCTTTCCTGCAGTGAAAGAGAAGAAAAGAGATTCCTATCAGAAAGTATGATTTTAACTGTTCATTACATTTGAAGGTCTTTCCAACAATACAATCTTATTTATACATTATTCTGTCTTTGCTAATGACTTGGTGTTTCTGTTGCAAAGATAAACAACATATGATATATTTGAAAAAATTGCCCATTATTTATATTTATGCAGTGTTTTGTAAGACATTTAAACTGCAAATTGAATTACAATGAAATTGGTGTACGTGTTCTAGAAAAAGTTATCATATTCTCACTGCAGTCCTTCTGATCCAGATGTATATTTTAAATCAGACTGAATACAGAACTAGGCAGAAGATCTGTTTGTTCTGAATCATTACCTGACTTGTACACATATTAACTTTTTGTTCCTTTAAAATAAAAAATCTGTAACCCTGAGTAATGATACACACACACACACACAAAAAGTATTCCTTCACTTAACTATGTTCATCTTTTTTATTACATAATCTGAAAATACATCTGTCTCCCTGGATAAAAAACAGTGATGTGTTTAGTGTGAAATGGAAGGGTTAGTTTAGAGCTGGCTTAATTGTTTTTATTACAGATAGCACATTACAAACTATTACATCATCATTCACTCAATAAAGTATAGTGACAGATATTTTGCTCAGAAAGATGAAAAACAGAAACTGAAAGCTCCTGTTCTCTATACAGGGAGAGGATGAGAGACGGAGTGAACCCAAATGACAAGTGACAGGCACATTGTTTAAATGCACTACTGGAAGTCACTTGGGTACCATGGCAATGAAAGCTGCTAAAGAACCTACGTGGAACACAACAGCACCATGATTCAGCCTCACTGAAAAAAAATCATACAAAGGTTATCTCCATACAGCAAAATATAGGTGCAATTCTATTTTTGCCTTGCAGACTAATATAAACCTATTTGGGAACAAAAGGAAGTGGCACCAACCTGTACTTGTAACCAGGAAATTTTAAAGGATTCATAGAATGATGCATGGGTGCTTAAGTTTAACCAAAGTCTTATGTGAGCTTAGATTGTACTAACAGAGGTAGTCCAGCACACACCACAGTCATAGTTTCCTGGCTCTCTCTGTTCTGAACAGGGAATACTATCAAAGATACACTTGTATAAACAGGAAAGGAACAATTCAATGTAATGGTGCCATGGCTAAGCAGTGTCGCTCCTGTGGGTGAGAGCATCTTCTGGAAAAAAAATAGGAGTAAGCTCAACAGCAAAGCAACACTGGATTGTTTGAGGTGTGAAAGATGTGTAAGCTGCCTGCTGGAGTTCCTTCCTGTTGCACAACATAGGACTCAAGATTTGCTTTTAAAAGGCCAGGAAACCTACCCATTGCTACTCAGTAGTTTTGTTCACTCTATGAAAACAAAACAAAATAAAGCAAAAGAAACAAACAAAAAAATATTTTCAACTTCTAATTCTTATCACAGTTCATCTCCGCCTTTGTCTAAATGTGGGTGAGGACAGAATCTAGTGCCATGAAGAAATCTTCTCTATCTCTAAAAATCTTCCCTAGCATTGTCACTTCTGTACTCCTTCTCTTCCCACTGAATGCTGCATGGATACATTTTTGAAACTGAAGTGCAGTTGATTTATTTATAAATTATAATTACTGTTAGAAATGGCAGCTTGGCCTTTTTCCTGCAAGGAGATCTCAGAGAGAAGGTAGGCTCAGATGGCTAGCAGCTATTGGCACCCGAATGAGAGCACCAGCATTGGATCACAGAACAGTAAATGAATGTTTCAAAAGCTGTCCAAAATGCCGTGCCTAAGGAGACTTCGGGGTGTTCAGGGACAGGAGATACTGAGGAACTGTAAGAGAGAGGGGCGAGAAGTAAGGTCTGGAATGAGAAGGAAATAATTTACTAAGGATGTGTTCCCACCTGTACAATTATACTGAGGACTCTAGTGTGAGTGGAACAGAGATTCCTAGGAGCATCCTTATCTGCCAGGGGACTGCCAGGGATGCTCCCACTTCCCTCACATATACATGTACTTACAGGATCAGATACACATGACTTACAGGATCCCACTCAGACATTATCCTATTTTTTTTCTGTCAAAAATATACAATTCTTCTCAAATCATTTTCACATAAGGTCTGTCATGCTACATTTGCCTCAATTTACATGGTGTAATTAATTGTTGTCAATTAGTTTTAAAAATTTGAAACATGCACTAACGCCCACCTATACTGTATCTACATTATAAAAGTCAATGCAAGTGAAATATTGTCATTAAATCCACTGCAGTTTTATTACACATAATGCTGTGGGTTTTGCATAAACACTGTGTTTCCAGCCTAGTAGTCTGAGGCATGCTGCTCAAAGACAAAGAACACTACAAGTCATCAAGCCCCTATTTCCATTACAGATAATAAGATAC